AATGATATTATCTCTTTTTATGGAGATAATATCTGAATTAAATGATATTATCTCTTTTTATGGAGATAATATCTGAGATAATGACATTATCTTCTCTTTATTAGGATAATATCTTAATTAATGATATTATCTTATTAAATAAAGATAATATCATGTTAATTAAGATATTTATCCCAATTAATTAATTGGCCAGATAAACTGGTTCAATTAATTAATTAAAAGAGATAATCTTCTTTTCCACGTGGCGAGCTGTGATTGGAGACGAAAATATCTGCTCCCACATCCATCATTATCAAGGTCTGCTGCCTTTAAATCCCTCAGAGTAACCTCCTTCTGAAGAACCCATTCGGGGATTCGGCGATTCCTCTTCTCCATTCTAAGCTCAGTGAAATACAGAAATGCCCTGGCAACAGCCAATGTGCTTACCAATAACCACACAATTGCAAAACACCTTCCTGCAGTAGTCTTGAAACTCGAATCCCCATAGCCTAGAGTTGTGACTGATGTAACAGAGAGGCAAATGCAATCAGGCCAGCTCATGCCTTCCAGAAAATGCACTGCGACTGTCCCTATACCTATACAAACAATAACAATTCCCAATGCCAACCCAATCTTGCTTCTTGTCCTGATTCTTCCTTTCTTTTTATCCACCATATACGTCTGGATCATGTTCTTGAACTTCCCATCCGACGGCCTCAACAATACTGATTCTTTGTCACAGATGTACGCCACCAACCCATTTAGCAGAAGGTCGAAGAACCCGAAACCGAGCAAGATGAAGAAACAGGTGAGGTACTTGGCAAGCGTGGTACTCGGAACAATGTCGCCATATCCAATGGTGCAGAGCGTGACCACAATGTAGTACAGAGCATCCACAAGCTTGTTGGTTTTTTCGAGCTCGAAACTTGTTGTGCAGAATATGACAATGCCAATTATGACATACACAATAAGACCAATTATGAGCTTCTTGTTGTTGTTGTTCAATATGGCAATGGGATTGGAGCAAGAAGAACAGGTTGGTGGCGTGGGAATAGGATCGGGACCGATAGCATCATCACCGGTGACCAGCGGAGCAGGTGATAGGCTTGGAGGGCAAGGAAGTTGTTGGTGTTGTGCTTCCGCTAGACTCTGGTTCATCTTTGCCGCCAACGCCAAGTCTTGTGTCATTCTTGGGAAGAAAAGGTTCATCCATGGTGATGAAAGATTAAGGATTTAAAGTCTTGGTGTTATTGAATTTGTGAAGGAAAAAAAAACCAACTCCAATTGCAAGTCGAATCCAGGGAAGAAGAGAAAGTTGAATGGTGGTTTGTTTGTTTATCTAAGTTTAAGTAGAACCCTTTTAAATTTTGTTTGAATTTTTTCAGTAAATAGTATAGCCGGTCGGCTATACTCAAAAATAGTATATCCGCCCGCTTTACTCTTTTGACACATGGCACCTATGCGCTGGGCGCTCCTTTTTTTAATATATAAATAGTATAGCCGGGCGGCTATACTGTTTAAAAAGAAAATTTAATATGGGAAATTTCGTCGGCACGTTGGGAGAGGTTTTTTTTAATTTTTTTAATTTTAAAATATATAAAATAAATTAGTTTCTTTACTTTTGTTTTTTGACCTACTTTAATTAAATATGTGTAATTGAGTAATATGTTACCCTTTTTGAATTATTTTAATTATTATTTAATATATAAACATTAAAGAAAAAGTCCACAATATAACTAATTTATATTTATTAAGTTTTTTGTGAAATCATTTGGGTGTCTTAATTAAATTTCTCCATAGCCCAAGAGCCCTATCCGTTATCATTAGACCATTACTGGAGTATCTATTGTCCATTTTTGATTTTTCGCTTTTCCAAAGTTATTACATGTATAAAGATTTTAGCACTTCCAAGTTTAATAATGTATTATTATACATGTACACATGTATTTCTCATGTTTAATACACGTAGTTTTTACAAAAAATTCAATAAAACACAAAATTCACGTGTTATACACATAATTCTCACATATTATTTTAAAAAAATAATGTATATTTAAAAGAATCTCAGTTTTTCCTTAATTTTTTTTATAAAATTGTATAGCCGTGCGGCTATACGCGTTTTTTCCTAAATTTTTTAAAAATAGTACAGCCGCCACTTGTTTGACACGTGGCGCATAGGCGCTGAAAGAGTATAGCAGCACGGCTATACTAATTCTTTTTCATTTTTTTAGGAAATAGTATATCCTCGTATAGCCGCTCGGCTATACTCGTTTTTCCTATTTTTTTTTTAAAAGTACAGCTGCGTTTTACTCTTTTGACACGTGACACCTATGCGCTGGGCGCTACTTTTTTTAATATATAAATCATATAGCCGTGCGGCTATACATTTTAAAAAAAATTTAATATGGAAAATTTCACTAACATAGACTTGTGCCGTCGAATTTTCGTCGGAACAAGTTTTTTATTTTATTTTTAATTTTAAAATTTTAAAAAATTAGTTTCTTTACTTTTATTTTTTGGCCTACTTCTTTAATAAATAAATGTAATTGAGTAATGTCTTAGTCTTTTTGAATTACTTTAATTAGTAATTATATTTTAATTATTGTTTAATATAAAAAAATTAAAGAAAAAGTCCACAATATAACTAATTTATATTTATTAAGTCTTTTGTGAAATTGTTTGTGTGTCTTAATTAAATTTCTCCATAGCACAAAGAGCCCTATCTGTTACTATTAGGCCTATTACTTGAGTATCTACTATCCCTTTTTTATTTTTCACTTTTTCGAAGTTATTACCCGTATAAAGATTTTAGTACTTTCACGTTTAATAATGTATTATACACGTATGCATGTATTTCTCATGTTTAATACAAGTAATTTTTACAAAAATTTCAATAAGACACAAAATTCATGTATTATACACAAAATTCTCACATATTATTGAAAAAAATAATGCATATTTAAAAAAATCTCAGTTTTTCCCTAATTGTTTTTTCTAAATAGTATAGCCGATCGGCTCTGCTCTTTTTTCTAAATGTTTTTAAAAAATAGTACAGCTGCTACCTGTTTGACACGTGGTGCATAGGCGTTGGGTAGGTGTAGATTATAGCCGCCCGGCCATACTAGATTCTTTTTGAATTTTTTTAGGAGATAGTCTAGCCGCGCGGAGATACCCGTTTTTCCTTTATATATATATATATAAAAAATAGTATAGCTGCTTAATTATTATTTAATATTAAAAAAAATTAAAGAAAAAGTCCACAATATAACTAATTTATATTTATTAAGTCTTTTGTGAAATCGTTTGGGTGTCTTAATTAAATTTCTCCATATCCCCAGAGCCCTATCCGTTACTATTAGGCCATTACTCGAGTATCTATTGTCCCGCTTGGGATCAAAGAAATGCCAGAAATGCAGGTGATAATAATAATGATAATAATAATAATAAAGGGTTTCATCAATCTGGCTGCAGCTCACCCATGAAATAAGACAAGTCTCCAAGAACCCTTTTGGTATTATGAAGCTGTTTGGGCCAAAAATTGACACACCCAGCCCAGCGAAAATTAGGCCCAGAATAAAGCTGCAAAAAAATCAAAGAAAGATGGAAGCCCAAAAAATCAGAAGAGACCAGCCCAAGGCTCATCAGAGCAAACCAGGCTAATCTGGGCCTCACAGACCCAATATAATAGGAAGAGGGAGCCCAGAAATAGGAACAATCCCACGTGACATCTCTGGGATAAAGAAAAGTCAGCAATGGCAACTGTCATAGAAGAAGTGATTGAAGAGTTCATGACATCAAATTGATTCTGAAGAACTGAAGATCAAATCCCTCTTACATATATATATATATATATTCAGAGATTTTTCAGAGAATGTAATTCTCCCAAGAAGATAAGCAAGTTACAATATCAGAGAGGGATAAGCAGTAAAGCAGGGAGCTGTCCAGAAAAGGAATCAAACTAACCATCACGGGTAAAATATCACAAGGGGCAGTTGAAATTGGGAAAGAGATTAGGTTC